AAATATGTTAATAGATATAAGTTTAGGAATCTACTATTATTTATAAGGAAATATGTCAATAATATTTAAATGCATCTACAATATATTAACAAAATCACAAATTCGTAATATGGAATATTTATATACCCTAAAAAAATTTACACGCTATATATACTAGATAAATTTATTTCGATGTAAAATTTTAAAATTATATTGTTTTAAAAAAAAAAGAAAATTGTTTATAAAATTTCTTTTTAATAAATTTTTTTATAATATTAATTTATGAGACTATAAGTTTAGTTTTTAGAAAAAATTTCTATGAATTTTATATTATCTTTGCAAATTAAAGTATACTAATATTTAATCAAGCTCTATTTATATTACTTTATCTAAAAATGAAATATTAATCTAACAAACAATAAAATTTAGAAGAAGAAACAAACACATATTTGAAAACATGTGTAATATAGAAAATTAGAAACAAACTATTTGATTAAAACACATATTATATAATATTATTATGTTTGAAAAACATTTACTATACATATCGTATATATATGATTACTATAATATATACCAATTTACAAGTGAAAACAAAATGTTTATATAATTAACTATAAACGAAAACAAACACACGCGCGGTTGCGCGGGTCAAAATCTAGTATACTCTATTAAAACAGAGTCATTCTTTTTATCTACTGATATAAGTTGTCATTTAAATTTGGACCCTTTCTAGAGTGTTACAAATAATACAAGTTATATAGCTGATTGAACCGCATTACTTAATTTAAACCGACAGTAATTTATGGAATAGAGTTTTGAGCTTACTTTTATTTTTATGACAAATTATATAGTTTGGGTTTTGGGCTTAGTATTAAAGAAAAACTTAAAAAAACATTGAATAAATATTCTACCTTAATGGATCAAAAAATAAATTACTATTTTAAGTCCCAAAAGTATTTAATATTTTAACAAAACAAAATGATATATTATTAATCACTTATTTAAATCATGTACTTTAAAACATGTTAATATTTTTTTAGTTTAAATAACAATTACTCTGTCTTGATAAATTTCAATGATAACTTTTATAATAGTTTTTTTTCTTAAATAATTTACTAATTTTAAAAAAAATAAATGTAAAGCAAAACGAAAAATAAAATCTAAAAATTAAAATCCAAAACCAAAAGCTGAAAACGCATGTTATATTTTTGTTTTTGTTTTGTTTATTTACAAAATAAACTATTGTCATCTTTTCAGTTTTAAATTAGATGTTCGATTCTTTGGGATTTGTTTTTGTTGGTAATTATGAGTTCAAATAATTCAGCGGATCTAAAAGCTAAAAACCCAAACCAAAAGCTAAAAATCAAAACTAGAAACTTAAAAATTTAAAACAAAAACCAAAATCTAAAACCAAATCTAAAAATAAAAAATAAACTAAAAACTAATGCAAAGCAATAATCACCACAATTTTGGATTACTAATTTTATACCAAAACATACTTTAAATAAATACAAAACCTAATTATAAAAACTTTTAATCAAAAAAAATTTCCGCGCTTTTAAGTGCGGGTCAAAATCTAGTATAATATTAAAACAAAGGCTTTAACCCGATAAAAAAATTAAACAAGGCTTTTAAAACTAATAGATGATTACTATTTTTATTTTGAAAATGAAACAAATTACTCACACAGCAATATATGATAGAAATAAATATAAGTAAACCAAATGAATTTTGTGTTTTGAAAATAAGTATTGCAATAAATAAAATCTAAAATGGTAAACCATCATTATTAATTTATTATAGTTTTTTGGTAAAATAGTTTATTATAGTTCATCATTTGACATGAATCATTCTTTTAGACTTGCAATATTTTATAGTCTGACTTTTTAATCTGGTGATAATACGTTCTTGTAGGAGCACATACCATAGGATTTGCACAATGTTTTGTGTTCAAGCACAGGCTCTTCAACTTCAAGGGCTCAGGACAGCCTGACCCAAACCTAGCTGCCTCCTCAAATCTTCTCTCAACGCTAAAGGACACATGTCCTAATGTAGACTCATCTAACTCCAACCTTGCTGCCCTTGACGCAGCTAGTGTTGTCAAGTTCGACAACGCTTACTATGTGAATCTCATGAACAACGTTGGACTGCTTGATTCCGATCAGATCCTTATGTCTGATTCTAACGCCGCTGCATTGGTTAAGTCCTACAGCGAGAATCCGTACTTGTTCTCGAGGGATTTCGCAGTTTCAATGGTTAAAATGGGGAATATTGGAGTTATGACCGGAAGTGATGGAGTTATTAGAGCAAAGTGTGGATTTCCAGGTTAAGAATATGGACTACTTTGAACGTAAACACTCCATCCAAATCAATCTATAACATATGTAGAACTAATCTAGCTTTAAAAATATGAATTAAGCATATAGACCAATGTCAATGAATAAAGTGTGTTGTAAAATCAGCCTTTTGTATCTATGATGGATCACATAACAAAAAATAAACTTGGAGTTGTATGTGTGTTTGTGTGTAATGTAATATGTATTTTTTAGTATATGTTGTATCCTAAAAATAAAAGTCCCTCCCTTGTTGTATGGTCATACCGCCATAGTCCTAGACTCATAGTTATACATATTCTTTTGGAATCCTTTTCTTTCCGAATTGTTATACATATATTTATTTAAATTAAGAATTGAATGATCATCTTTTCACAACAACCAAACATTTTAAACGAGATAAGGAAAAAATAAAGGACCTAGACATAGTTGAAGACTTCAAAATTGATAAATTAAAGTTCTTAATTAATTACAACTAGAAAACGAAGAACTTAATGATGAAAATACTTAGTTGAAAAAGGAATGATGAAATGCGTATTTATCACGCCCGAATCCAAACAAATCACATTTCATGTATCTTCACTTCAAATTCAGAATTGTCTTTGGTGAAATCAAATTTAATTTCAGAATTGATTGCATATATCTATCAGAGAAATACGTTTCTATGCGTTAAAAGAAGCAATTAAGCATTGAATGATGACATGAATTTCTATAAAATCCAAATGGAAGCAACCACCTTTTTAGGTATAATTGCTTGTTGATTACTGGTTGGAGAACATAAATTTAAAATCATTTAATTTTCTCCAACGACTCCAAGAGATTATCAAGACGAGAGTTAGTGGAAAAAGGAAAAATAAATACATACATCATATCCATATATATAAGTCCAAAGAAAAATACATCACTAAAGGTAATTTTAAAATGTTTTCAATCTGTTATTACATATACACATCATCTAGTGGTTAGGTTACACACATCATCTTGTTAGATTAGAATTATATTACCAAACCAAGGAAAATATAATCTAATATCATACTCATAAACTAAAAGGTATCGAATTTAATTAGACTTATAAACTAGAAAGGTAGCTGCCAAAAGAACTAAAAAATGAAAATTATTCCAATTAACTGTTTAACTAGATACATAGTGATGACAAGTTTGATTCAATTTGAAATTATGTTTAATAAAGTAGTTAGCGCATATATTTTAAAAATTTACGAGCTTAATATTTTTATATAGTCGTGAGATGTTGAACCGAGGTCAAATCCCTTTAAAAAATTTTGAGTTCTGTTTTTTCTTTGATGAACGCTAAATTTTATTCATCAAAAAACCTTTGTACAACAAGTGCATACATTTCTAATGGAAAAACCTACTACACAACCACCTTTACAACTCTATACAAAGGAAAAATACTAAAACTTTAACTTCTTGTTTGAAACCAAATTGGAGAATCCCCTGAAACCTTCTCTTTTTCTTATCAATTTTTACCAAACTAAACTTGTTCCTGATCCCTTTATCAGTAAGCTTATGTAGAATAGATACAACCATAGCTTGCTCCCCATGCTGACTCTGTTACGCTTTCTCCAAATGCCATACACATCGGCTTGAAATGCATATCTCAAGCAGAAAGATCTCCGTCTATCCATTTAAAATCTCCATATGATGCTTCTTCCTTCTACCTATACACAGAATGGCCTCCTCAATAGTATCATCTCTCATAATACCCAAATCAATAATACATATATCACCCTATAAATCAATTAACACCTCTTTCTCCGATAAGTTATCATACCAAAAGGAGATATGACGACCATTCCCAACTTCTTTTTTTGAAAAAAAACTTCGCAGTCTCTCTCAACTTCAGTAACTTTCTCCACATCCAAAAACCAGCTTAAGTATTATCTTTAACCTCCCAAATTTTTTTTTCTTTAAAATATTACCTTTGATCCATTTAGTCTTCTGAAATCGTCCTTCAAATTAGCTTAAGACCATACACCTCGTTAACTTGTTTAATAGATTTTATACCCAAACCCCGTCTCATTCTTAAGCTTACATATATCCTTCCAAATTACCTTAGCACCAGAAGTTTTAAGCACTGGTCCAAACCAAATAAAAGCAGCATAAAGTTGTTCTACCTCTTTCATGCATTACTCGGTGACCTGAACACTGAAAGAACACCAACGGCGAAAGCACTCTACTGGCCCAGCCCAAAAATTAACAATGCTCATAAGGACCGATTTAACGAACTGTAATCTACCCGCAGGAGAGAAGTCCAAGAAAAAATTTTGTTCCTAAATTTTTCCACCAAAGACAAAAGTAGTCATGGTTCCTCATTGCTTTAGTCATGAGCGGAAGCCCTAGATATCGAACATGAAGAGCACCTTTAGCAAAGGGGAAGTTCACCAAAATACTCCTCCTTACATCAATAGAAACACCAGCCATATACACAGTAGATATCTCAATGCTGATACTTAAACCCGACCACTTAGCAAAGTCATCAAACACATTAAGCGCACCTTCAACAGATTTTTTAGTACCTTCCACAAACACCATCAAGTCATCAGCAAAGCATAAGTGAATGAGAGAGAGAAACTTACACCGTGGATGAAAGCTAAAGTTCTTCTCTTTCATAGCCTTATCCATCTTGTGTGATAGCACATTCATACAAAGAATAAAAAGGTAGGAGAGAGAGAACAACCCTGCCTCAAACCTCTTTTATTTTGAAAATATCCAGCAAGTTCACCATTTACTTGGACTGAGAAGAAAGGCGTAGTGATACACAGCTTAATCCAATGAATAAATTTTCCTTGAACTTCTATTGCCTCCAAACTCTGAATGACAAATTCCATTACACAGAATCAAAAGCCTTCAAGATATCAATCTTTATCGAACATCTAGGGGAGATAGTATCCTTATGACAGTCGTTGACTAACTCCAAAGCGAAAATGACATTCTCGAAAATAAGTCTTCCTTTGATAAAAGTTGATTGATTCTCTGAAAAAATTCTTGGAAGAAGAAGCTTTAGCCTATTAGCAATCATTTTTGATACCACCTTATATAGGACATTGCAACACGAAATAGGTCTAAAATCCTTCATCTCCATTGAGTCAGTTTTCTTAGGAACTAATACCAATATTGTCAAATTGACACCTTTTGGAAGAAACCCATACATGAACACTGATTGAACTGCCACAATGAAATCATGAGCGATAATGGGCCAAGTGGTCTTGAAAAACTCACTAGGGAACCCATCCGGTCCCGGAGACTTATAGGAAGACATAACAAATAACACCTTTCAAATCTCTTCCCCTGTAACCACTGCTTCGAGCATAGTACAGTCCTCTTTGGTACATCTAAACTCCGATTTCTCCTTAAGTTCATCAACATAAGTACATGAGTAGCTATCTGGGATCTAACTGAGAAACTCAGAGAAGAAGCACTCCGCTTCCACTGTAATCTCCGACTGTTGAATAACAATAATACCATTCTTGCATCTTATCTCTCGAATGAAATTTTGTGCCTGCCGAGTTCTAATAGCATTATGGAAGGTATTATTGTTCTGGTCTCCTACATCAAGCCAATGTAGCTTAGCTCTCTATTTCAGAAAATCCTCTTCAAGACCCCCAATATGAAGCCAACGCTCATAAACCTCATCCTCTTCTTGAATAGAAGGACCACTAGTATTTGATAAGGTTGCTTTTGCTTATCACATAGAACGCCATGAGCTTCTATAAGAAAACTTTTCAAGCTTCTCCCTACCCATTTTTCTTATTCACGGTTTGAAATTCTTCAGCTTCTTTGAAAACCGAAACATAGCAGAAGTAGAATGATAGAGGCTTTGAGTTGAATCCCAATACTTCTGCACCATTGGGAGAAAGATCTCCATTTTCCCAATAGCATTGGCATACTTAAGAGATCTTCTCATCTTCTCACAAACTGGTAAAATATTAAACTTACATCTCATATGATCAGAACATCCACCAGCTTCGAAAACTGAATAAGCACTCGAGAATCTCTGCAAAACTCCCTCATTTATTAATACTCTATCAATATTCTTGCAAATAATCCATACCTCTCTCTTATTACACCATGTGAAAAGAGTTCCTTGGTAACCCATATCAAAGAAGTTACAATGAAACACCATTCTCTGAAAATCTCTAATACCTCTTAGAAGATTACCCAAATTTATGAATCTTGAACTCTCTTCAGCATCCATAATCTCACTGAAATCGCCTACTACAATCCAAGCCTTGTCATGAAACATAGGAGAGTCATGGTGATGACATAGATCCTCCCAAAGCTCCTGCATTTCTTCAGAAAAATTACTCGCATATATACATGTATAGAAAAATACCTCCTGATCCTTCAGCCCAACCGAACAAGTAATAAGTTGATCAGATTTAAAAACCGGAGTCATACGAATCGTATCTCTCCACACTAACCAAATTCTTCCACCTTGACTATGCTCATAAATTTTTATAGATGACCACCCCCTGGACACTTTATTCATAATCCCTTCCGCCTTACTTTCTTTTACTCTAGTTTCCAATATACTACCAAACGTCATATCATTGTTTCTTACGCACTCTTGTACCACGGAATGCTTCAAACATTTGTTAAAATCGCGCACATTCATTAAGAAGATCTACATAATATTAATGTTTGCGTCAAGAAGACCTAGTGCTCTTCCCTGGATTTACATCCAGAACCTTAGCCCTTCGACCTCTTTTACCCGCTTTAACCTCCTCTTGAACTTGTTGATCCAACAAATGATCCTCCAATAACTCATCCTCCAGAAGCTCTGCCTCCTCATTAACATCAGCCTCAGCAGTTACATTATCTTCAAAGGCTAAACTTTCTTTAACATCATCTAAACACTCACCATCTTCTACTTCATCCACACTAAGGACCGAGTATTTAGATTCCGAAATCTCAACACCACAACCTTTTGAACAGAAATAGGTGATGATCTTCCCGATTTCAGAATTGGCCGAGACCATTCATTACCTTCAGAGCCCCCATGATCCCCAAGAGTCTCTTTGAAAGAAAATTCAGTATCCTTCTTCTCCCCCCCCCATTTCAATGTTCACATTGCTACCTTCTCCATCAATATTCATCATCTTCTTTATAGACCTATCCAGCTTAGTTTCACTACCTCCACTATCCGACGGTTCAGAAGGAGTTTGTGCTAGCTTCTTACCTTTCTCTTTACACACCTTTTCACCCATTTGTTACACAACTTACATCTAGCCGGTAACCAAGGATAATAGAAATATACAGTGAACTT